AAGAACTCTCCCGAGTATATGCAATTTGCTCATAGGATGGTACTTTGAAAAGTCGCTTCAGGTGGCCAGATAAGAAAATAACTTTGTGCTCACATGAAGTAATAGCGAAACAAGAAAAACTAGTTATAAGTTATACACAACAACAACCAATGACCGACTTTCTACCCAACTCGGCGTTCGCAAATAAGTTACCGTATTCCTAATAGTTTCACAAGACATCAATATACCATTTCATTCAAAACGATTAGCGTTCCGGCAGAATGGTTTGAAAGAGTGCGAGATCGAACCAACGTCCGTGTGTGTGTGTTGCACGGATGAGACCTCTAAGATCGTCCAAGGAAACCAGAACTATGAAGAGAACTGTCATTAACGCCGACTATCTTGTAATTAGGCGAATGAACAAATCTTTGTCGATCTACGTAGCCATATCTCAGTTGTTCTCATGGAGTTAAGGAAAATGCTGATTTTTCATCATGTCTTGAAAACTACGTGTTGGTCTAAATTCATCAAGAAGCTCAATGATGAAAAGGTACTCCCTGAAACAACTTATTAATTACGAAGTGTCAAAATATGAAGCTAAGAAGAAGTGGTCTCGAAAATTCTGCCTACTTACTGGCCTCCCACGTATCACCCTACGACGTCAATTAGTCCGCAATCCCTCTATGATCGTTTTTGCCGCTCAGAAAACTGTGGTCTATCCTAGCGGGAGAGACGGCGATTGTATGAGTTCAGCCAGCACAGACTTAATCTCATTTAGAGCATGTGGTGACGAATGCAGAGGAAAAATGAGTGGATCACTTTGTGTCCGCGTAAAAGAACATCTAGATGGGGAAGTTAAAAATCGTCAAAATACTCCTCTAAGTACACATAGTGCACAAAAGCGCAATGGTTATGAATTCGAAATGACTACCTGGATCGTAGCGCTCGAAACAAAACCGTCAATGTGCAAGAATCTTGAGGCGTTTTGGATAAATTTAGAAAACTGAAGGATGAACAGGAAAGACGAATGCCTCACTATCACATGTGATTTGGCCCCTTCAAAATTTCTTGACTTGGATGGGTGTCTCTCGTCATCCTTCAGGAACAACACGCAGACAGTCCTGCTCATAAACAGCAGGGTGAGTAGTTTTTGACCAATATGATTTTTGTTTATACGTTAGATCTTCATTATTACCGTAAATATTTCAACAAATTAAAGAGCTGATATATTTATTTATATGATCTTATAAACTGATCTTCCTTATCTGATGCGAGGTTGGTATAGGTCTTCGTTGTTGTTGTCGTTGCTGTTTGTGTTGTTGGTCGATGGCTGACGTTTCGGCGATTTCGACTTCCTCAGAGCCGTGATGTTATGAGTGGAACTGACCAACAACACCAACGATGACCTATACCAACCTCGCATCATCTAAAGATCAGTTTATAAGATCATATAAATAAATATATCAACTACTTATGCCGACGTTTATGGAAAGTCGGTCTTTTGAGGAAAGGGCCGTTGTTACATGAAACGTTTGAGTTTAGGCCCTTACCGCCTGCGATTTGGAAATGTTCAAAGCAATAAATCACTAATTGTTATTAGCATTTAAGCACGAAAGAGGGTGGAACTGGAACAAATGTGAAGACTCAACATAGTTCAAACAGCTACAGCAAAACAATCAAAACCCTTATTCCCGCATGGTCAAAAAATTGGTAGCAGACTTATCCCAAAAAAACTCACTTCGATGTAGAAAGAATGACGACTGTGAGTAATGAAGATTTGGGAACGTCATAGCGCGATAATCCAAGGATTCCAGGAAGAATCTAATGGACCAGCACTCAACGGCATTCATGAAAAAAAAACCGAATTCCCAAGCAGAAGCTGATTCGAATTCAAATCCGAAAACGTTCTTGAGTGACGGGCACATGAGGAGACGAATGAAAGTGCCAGAGTCCGTACAATCTGGATGGAGGACCACTTAAGAGTAGAAAAACAGCACAAGGAATTGGAAGGTTGGAAAGAGTTAAGAGAAAGAAACAGGGAATCAGGTCTTTTGTCATAATATTCGATAACGAAGTGTTAGTGATCAATCACTGCCGACGAGTTTTTCGCATACTCGTAATTCGTGGCAACTAACTCTCAATCAGCTCTAGTTTGTGCTTTCTTTCCGTGAGTGAATAGTTACACTGTCGAGAAAGCGGACCATTGATTTTTACTCGATCTCAATTTTAACGTACAAGGGTTCATACTATTGCTATCAAGTTTTGGTTACGTACGTACACTACCTTGCTTGTAATATTTTGCGAAGTTGTAATAAATCTCTAGATTTGGGATAACTACACTAAAATTTCCTTCTCTTGCACACATTTCTGATTGTGACCACAAGGTGCGTGATTGGTTTTCGCTGGAATCTATATTTCTGATGAATAACAGTGTGGTGCGTGCAGCGCAGTGGTTAAGAGCGCACTGCCATACTCACGTGGTCTTTGCTTCGATCCAGCGTCTCCGGCTCACCAAACATTCCATCTTTCCGGGGTCGACAAATTGGTATCAGAACTGTCTAATGGGATAGAAACATTGATTTGATACATCGGTAGGCCACCGAAAGTTATTGTATACGCTAGATATACCTTTATAATTGAAGTGAAATTCAAGTCACATAGTAAAATTCATTTACTACGACGGTCTTGCCATTTTCCTTAGAAATTCACGTGATTGCGTTCCAAACGTTTATTTCTTTAAACTCTCGAAAGGATGAAAATACTAAAAATTGTTTAAAAGATTGTTATCTGAAAATTTGTTACGTGTAAATCAAAAGTGATCCTTTGTATCTGGTAAACTAGTTCTTATATTTGGACAGTTTCAAACGCAATAATCTGTTTTAGATCCATCCTACGAGCTTAGAATTCGTACACTTAATTGTTGAAGCAACTGACGAATAGGAAGCAGGAAGAGTGTATCACAATTACAGTGATACCGTTCATTATGCGGACCTTTCACGTCATCCAGACAGTCTTTCGACACTCCACCCGGCACACCAAGCCTCTCATCGCTCCTGAGTCGACCAGACTTCCCTACTGCCTCTTCTAATTCACTTGGGAATGCCGTAGGACGGCTATATCAGAAATCCAGGAATGGTCCACTTGACCGGCATTGGATGAAATTAATGACGAAAAATAAAAACTGGTCATGCACCAGCCGAAGCCAAACGCAACAAAGTTCCAAGACCTTCGCGCATGGTTCCTGCGAGGAAACAAACTGAGTTCACGAAGTATTGGAATCCACACAGTGTGATAAATTTGATATTCTGTCATGGTATAATAGGAACCTACCGCGAACACGGCTAACAACAGCAAACAATGTGACGATGATAGCAATACCGAACATTGGTGGTGGCGCCCACACAGGAAGACCACAGGTCAACGGATTCCCGTGAAGATGCCTAGTCACCTAATCGACGGCGTCTTTAGCTGTCGTCCCTTCAACGATCTTTCGCCGAATACCGGTTCTTTCTGCGCATCCGTCATTTTGTCGATTGCTGATTCGAAAAATCAATTCACTTCCGTACTGTCGTCGTCGATGTTGATGTGGACCATACGAATGGAGGCGAACACACCAATGGAATAACCACTAGTATCTTGGAATGGTAATGATTCAGTATTAATACAGTACTCTAAGTAGAACGAATAGCGGAAAGAACACAAGCGCGCAGAACTCTCGAGGCATTCTGGATTAACTCCAGAAATCGGAAAATGAACCGCAGGGAAGAATGCCTCATTATCACACGTGATATAGGGCAGTACATAAGACTATTATTCTGATGGGATGGGCACATTATGCTTCCATGTGATTTCTGGGCTATTGGTCTTCACGCGACATATTGGAAACCTCATAGAAAGCGGTGAGTGTGCAAAGCTGTGTTCAATGTGATTGAAATCTTGGTTTAGAGTTTCTTTCTTTGGTTATGGAGGTGTCTGGCCGAATAGATTGCTATCAACTTGACCTTTCCAGGCTCTGAGGAAGGCGAAATCAGACGAAACGTCAGCTTATTCATGAATAAAGAATAATAACACCTCGCGTTTGCTCAACAGAAATACGAAGAATTAATTGTTGTTATATTTCTAAATGTAGTCGGAAGGAAATCAACTGATTTCACCACCGCCTTTCTGCAGTATTTTGATATCGAGTGACGCGTGTCATTAAACACAGTAATCTACAATCATGTAATAGAAAAATGATCATGTACCAACCTCTCTCCTTCAGATATCTGTTGAACAGGAGCAATCGTGTTTGACAGCTTTTTACAAACAAATTCACAAATAGAACAGGGCCCTACATAAATTGGATAAGCAAAGATCCCAGTTCCTCTAATCAACCATTTTTGTAAAGTAACGTATTATTTTCGCGAAAACAGCCAGACAAAAGAAACACATCAATCAGTACCACGGTTTCCTCTTCATACGAACAGTTGAGCGTTTACGGTTGCCTCGTGATGATGTGTCATGCTTTCTTCAGACGCAGAACAAACCCCGCTGATACATAGATTAAGAAAATCCCAGCAAGAAGCCCTATAAAGCAGAAGTTCCACTGTTTACTTAAACATAACTAAACGTAAATATCGATACGGAATCTTGGTCCTTCGTGGACTCGATTCCCTTAATTGTACCTAAACATGGAGCTAAACGTGCAGTAAATGCCATGTTTGACAGCAATTTTAGTTTGTACGAACAACAGAAACACTTAAGTGTCACTAGTAATCACGTCTGTTCCACAAGAATGCTCTGTAAGTCATCTATACTTGAGGAGCGACAACTATGTGAAAGCATCCCAGAGCGCGAAATTCTTTTGGAGACAAACCAACAGAAAATAATAACAGAACAAGAATAACTACGATATTCATATAGAAATTCATAAACTTATTTATATTACTGTAAATCCATCAGATAACTCTGTAACCTAACACACAGCAAATCACCTCTCTACAGCATCTCATTGTCATTTTCACTTTCCTGTCGCTTCATAATCAGTTGTAGTCATGTGCTGGTGACTCGGCCCGCTCCTGTTTCTTCTCAACATTATAGGCAGACCATTCAAAATCAGCTGTTTTCAATTTATGAAGTTGCTGTGCCTTATTGTCTTCAGAGTATCGCTCTACCTAAAACAGCCAGTCTTGTAATGGTGTGAACCCTTCAAACGCAAAACTGCATATGCAAAATCATAAAAATTCGGCATGTCAAGTTGAACTGACTTACACGTACACAATTTAACTCGCACACAAGAAATAAATAACTTCAAAAGTTCAACAATCTATTCGGTACAAAAATTAGTCGCGAATATAGCTAGGATACAAAATGAATCTAGAGAAACACTGACAAACCTGCACAATTAGCGAACTTTCCTCGCTCATCGCCAAGTCAGTTATTGTATTGAAGAGGGTTATAGGCGTTGGCAAATCTGGTATGTCAAGACGTCTGAAGAACGCTAATACATTCTCGATATCCCTAAAAAGATATAAGCTTTGCAAACCATGGACAAAGATTGTTCAGAAATTTATTCATAGCTCATTAAGCTCATTGTTAGGGTTGCTCAAAGGAAACACTGCAGACAAAGGATGAACATGAAATCCATGATAAATATTAGGTGTATATTAGGCACTCACATAAATACACACTCAGAATTAAAACAGCTGTTATTTGAAATACGCTTCAACTTTTTGATTGCATTTTTTTTTGCATTTTGCAGAAAATCGTTCTATTCATTCTTCACCTTATCAAATAATGAAGATTTCTCGGGTGTGAAAGGTCCATCGATTGAGAAACATCGATCACGTACACCTAAAAACTTAACTACATAAAATAAATACATTAGGTAACTATACTATTAAACAACCTTTCCTTCTGACAGCAGCAAGTTGAACTCGCTCAGGTCACCATGGACCAGCTTGCAATTCTTGTACATACGGCACATAATCTATAAGAAGAAAGACTGATGGGGCAAACGAAAAAAGTCATTACGAAATCAAATCGTAAAAATCTTTCAAATATTTGCTTCTGTTAAAAACCAGTTAAGTTCAAATCCAACAATCAGGGTTCTCATGAACAATTACGATTTAAACCACACGATGATCGAACAAATTAATGGTATTTACTCAACAGTGGTTATGGTCTTGGTAGATTTCGCTCTTTCTGCATCGTAATTATTTTAAAGAAGTGCCACTACCTTCACAGAGTTTACATGGAGAATATCAATTTTTCGAACAGTGAATTTCCATGGGAGTTGTTGGTGATCACAACTACCTCAAACCATGTTACAAGAGTGTTGACGATAAACTTGTAGAAGACAAGCTTTTCACCGTAGAACTTCTTCACATCTACACATTGACAAAAAGGAGGCCGTCAAAAGCGGAAGTTTTCGTCTCTAAATGTTTAAATCGTATAGTTATACAAGACCCTGTCTTCACGTCGTTTGAGTTGACGAAGACACCAAGTTCTACAGCTCATTTAATTTCGCACTTTGTGATGAAAATTCTTCTTTGCTATCACAAACGGCATTTAATGAGCGAAGTGTTCTAGTTTCCTTCTGACTCATAATGTGGTACAGTAGCCTGCCCGTCAAGTTAAGCAAACCTCTTCAGGGTCATCTTAAGCAACCAATGCTACCTAGGACTCTTCTAGTGTTAACAAAATGTCCTTCATATTGTTTTCGCAAAAAATACAGACCCATATATTTCGCTGCACTCTCGTTGCGCAAATATGAAGCCTAATTGTTCGAAACGAATGCAACCTTTCACCGAAGATGGGCACGACAAAATTCGTGTACGTGCAATCATACTGAAACACGTCTGCATGGAAGTTTGTTTGCGTAAGAAAGGCATAAGCACAGAGAACCGGTCCTAAATACCACTTCACCTCTGGGTAAAAATATTATTTACTTTAGCTTCCTCGTTTGTAGGTTTGGATACGTGGCGATAAAAGACCTCATGAGCACCTCTCGGTTTAGTTTGTCCGAATGGCAGGAGAAAAAAACTTACTACAATTAAGATGATGCTGAGATATTTGCTAAACTCTGGACCGCAGGTGTCCGCGGTGGTGAACGAACGTGCTATTGTCCTCTCCGGGGAGTAACGCCTTCACCACCACATTATGCGGCTCCATCGTTTCGCCTGTCTCTCAGCTAGTTCTATAGATCAGAGCCATCAGCAATCACCCATCAACGGGACTGATCTAGGGAGCCCAAATCGGCAACTAACCTAGTTAAGCTGAGGCTGAAGTCGAAATCATAATCCTAACCTTTTTATTTGTATCATAAATTTATCAAATGTACGGTGAACGCATTAGTTCCCGGAAACGACAATAGGGCGTTTGTTCACCACCGCAGACACCTACGGTCCGGAGTTTTGCAAATATTTCAACGTCATCATAGTTGTATTTCACGTGATAGCCTACCGTTAAAAAATAAAGTAGGCAGCAAATAAAGGTTAAGATTGTGATCTTACCACAGTATTACATAAACATTATAATTCTAAGCAACCGGAACCACTGTTTGCTACAGAATAGATAAGCTCTGTACAAATATTGTTAAAAAAAAACACAATGTGTTGCTGAAAACAGCCTACGATGCTGACCCATCCACTCATCACCTTTAGCACCTGTTTAACCCGTAGTCTCGTTGGTTGTCGAGTGACTCGAGCGGGCGCCAGTAAATCTTCCATTTTCCCTTTAGCGTGCAAGTGTAGCCCAATGGCTTCTGCTCGC